GTTGTATAATCCTTTTGTTTTCAAGTTCATTTAATTCTGCTCTAATTTTGGTTATTTCTTTTCTTCTGCTGGTTTTAGGATTGGAATGTTCTTCCTTTTCCATTGCTTGAGATGTCCCATTAAGTTGTTGTTGTTGTTTTTTTTTTTTGAGACAGAGCCTCAAGCTGTCCCCCTGGGTCTTCCTCTCTTTCTGTTCTCTTGAGGAAGGCTTGCAACACTACAAATTTCCCTCTTAGGACTGCCCTTGTGGTATCCCAGAGGTTCTGATAATTCATGTCTTCGTTATTGTTTTGTTCCAAAATTTGGTAATTTCCTTCTTAATCTCATCTATGACCCAGCTATCATTCAGCATAAGATTATTTAGCTTCCATGTTTTTTGTATGAGTATGCAGATTCCTGTTGTTACTGAGTTCAACTTTTATTCCATGATGGTCTAAGAAGATGCAAGGAATAATTTCTATTCTTTTAAATTTGCTGAGGTTACACTTGTGACGTAAGATGTGATCAATTTTGTAGTATGTTCCGTGGGCTGATGAGAAGAATGTGTATTCAGTTTTGTTAGGATAAAATGTTCTGTAGATGAAATCAAATCCAAATGTTGAATAGTTAAGTTTAAGTCTAAAATTTCTTTGCTTAGCTTCTTATTGGAGGATCTATCCAACACTGCCGAAAGAGTGTTAAAATCTCTGACTATTATGGAACTGGAGGAAATCAAGTTGCTCATGTCTGTTAGAGTCTCTTTTATAAATTGAGGTGCATTTTGGTTGGGTGCATAAATGTTAATAATTGAAATCTCATTATGTTGGGTGTTACCCTTAACAAATATGAAGTGATCATCATTATCTTTCCTTACTTTGGTTGGTTTAAAGCCTATTGTATCTGTGAATAAAATTGCAACACCTGCTTTTTTCTGATTTTCATTTGCATGAAGTATAGATGACCATCACCCTGAGCCTATATTTATCTTTTAAGGTAAGATGAGATTCTTGAATGCAGCAGATATCTGGCCTGAATTCTATCCAGTCAGACAAGCTGTGTCTCTTGAGAGGATAATTTAAGCGATTTACATTAATTGAGAATATTGATAAGCCTGGTAGAATTTTAGATATCAAGTTTTTCAAAAGTCCAGTGGACATTTTTAATCCTTTCACCACTGTGGAAGTTGGAATTTGATCAAAAGTTTCTGAGTGATTTTACTTTTGTGGTGGAGGATTGCACTGGTCATTATGGAGGATAGGTCTGAGAATATCCTGGAGAGCTGGTTTAGTTATGGCAAATTTCTTCAACACGTGAATGTCATTAAAGTATTTAATTTCTCCATCATAAATGAAACTCAGTTTAGCTGGATACAGGATCCTGGGTTGAAAATTATTTTGTTTTAGGAGATTAAAAGTTGATAACCACTTCTTCTAGCTTGAAAGATTTCATCAGAGAGATCTGCAGTCATTCTAATATTCTTCCCCTCGTAGGTTATGGTTTTTTTATGTCTGGCTGCTTTCAGAATTTTCTCCTTCACATTAAGTTTAGTGAAGTTAATTATGATGTGCGTGGGGGATGTCTTATTCAAGTTGAGTCATGCTGGGGTTCTGAAACTGTCTGCTATCTGAATTTCAGAATCTCTTGGCATGCCTGGAAAGTTCATAATCTCATGAAGAAGGGCCTCTGTGCTTTGTGAAGCAACTTCGCTGCCTTCAAGGATTCCTATGAGGCGAATATTAGTTTTCTTCGAATTATCCCAGCGCGCTCTGAGAGAATGATCCATTTCTGCTCTCTGTTTCTCTTCTTCTTTGAGAGTTTGGGAGCATTCAAAAGCTTTGTCTTCAATGTCAGAAATCCTTTCTTCTACCATCTGCATTCTGTTACTGAGGGATTCTACTGTATTTCTCAGATCTTTGAGGACTGCAAATTTTTGTCTCAATGTGTCAAAATCTTTGGTGATTTTGTCTTTGAATTCATTGAATTCTTGAGACAACTTTTGAAATGCTCCTTGAATTTCTAATTCCAACTTTACCTCCATTCTATTAATCTTATTTGCAATCTAAACTCTGAATTTGATTTCTGACATCTTAGTCATTTGTTTATGAATGGGATCTTCAGTTGTGTCGCTGTATTGTTCCTTGGGGACAAACCTAATCTGGTTATTCATGTTACTGGATTTTTCCCACTGATTCCACCCCATGATTATTTTACACCCTTTGGCTAGATGATCAGATAAGGTGAAGTTGGACTGGGGGCTCCTGGAGTAGTGATTAACCAGCCTTTTGCCCAAAAGCTGGGACTGGTGTCTGTACCTTTTCTCCTAGAGCTTTGCAAAGGACCTGTACAGTGCTACAGCCTGAGACACTCGGGAATTACTTAGTGTGGTGGGGCTAAGTGGCTCTGTGTTGTTTTCAGCTGGTCTTTGTCCTACCCTAGTGAATCAGTAACTCTGGGTTGAAGTTTCAGCTTTGGAGAACTACCAGCAATTAAGTCAGCCCACCACCATGGGCAACAACTGGAAAAGGAAAATCAAACCTTCTCACAACCACACACCCAGGGTACCACTTTGGATAGTCCACAGGTGATTGGTCCAGTCCGAGAGATCCAAATCAATTGTTCCAGTGAGCACCCAGTCTCAAGTGGGAGAGTTCAAAAGGTCTCTGGCAACTAGATAGCAAGGGTCTACTAGCAGCTCAAGTATGACTCATTCTGGTGCTTCATGGAGTCAGAAAGACCCCCTTCACCTTTAGCAAATGAATTAGTCCGGGAAGGTTGATGCTCCTTCCCCACCTTGCACCTCTGTCACACCCAGTCACTGGTAACCCCGCAGGGCTGTGACCCAATTCTCTCCGATGAGCAGATGCTCCTGCAGGGGTTTGTGTCTGCATGAGTCACAGGGAGATCTATGTCTCCTCAGCCAGGCCTCCACACTCTGCCACCATCTGGCAGGGGGAGCTGAGGCCTGACAACCTTGGGTGGTTAATGGAAGCTGGGGCGGTTCACTCAGTTCCAGCCCCAACACACTCTTTTTGTTGTACATTTTTTATGGGTTTTATCAAAAACATGATGTCACGTATCCAACAGTAGAATATTTCCCTAAAAACACCCTGTATAACACTTAAATTTATCCCCTTCTCTGAACTCAGGGACTCAGGGCAACCACTACCATGAAAATTTAGTCAGAATATATAGACTTTCATTATATTTACTGAGCATTCATCTCTCATATTTCCAATGATTGCCTCTCCATTATGTCTTATATCATAGATTTTAAAAAAAATTGAGATAGAGTCTCACTTTGTCGTCCTCAATAGAGTAGTGTGGAGTCACAGCTCACAGAAACCTCAAACTCTTGGGCTCAAGTGATTCTCTTGCCTTAGCCTCCCGAATAGCTGGGACTATAGGCACCCACGGCAATGCCCAGCTATTTTTTTTTTTTTTTAAAGCAGGCTCTGGTTGGGTTTGAACCCACCAGCCCTGGTGCATGTGGCCAGTGCCCTAACCTCTAAGCTATAGGCACCCAGCCTACAGATCTGTTTTAAAAAGTATTTCATTCTATTTTGAGTTGTATCATTGAACTTTAATAATACAACATACATTATACACTCAGAAAGTTACATATTCAATAAGAATTCTTAATTTTTTTTTTTTTTGAGATAGAGTCTCACTTTGTCACCCTTGGTAGAGTGCTGTGGTGTCACAGCTCACAGCAACCTCAAACTCTTGGGCTTAAGTGATTCTCTTGCTTCAGCCTCCCAAGTAGCTGGGACCACAAGCATCTGCCACAATGCCTGGCTATTTTTTGTTGCAGTTGTCATTGCTGTTTTAGCTGGCTGGGGCTGGGTTTGAACCTGCCACCCTTGGTAGATGGGGCTGGCACCCTATCCACTGAGCCATAGGCACCTTCCCAAGAATTCTGATGACTCAAATGTAAAGTAACAAATGGCACAGGATAGGTGTCTAAAAGTAACATTTGTTTATGTATTAATAGTAGCAGGAATTCTGAATCAACCCAGGTAGTTTAACCAGAGTTGACTTCAGACTTGGTACTTATCCTGCTAACTGTGACACATATATTAAGAATTACCTTTCCTTTTGTTTATCTTTCCATTCTTTGTTCCTTATGCTTTTTTTTCACCCCATTCTGCCCTCTGTGAACTTCCTGTCAGTTCCTGCACTAAGGGAAATAGTGCTAATTGTATTCTGTTTGAGCTGAAACTCATTTCATAGGACCTAAAATTGAGACACAGCCAAGAGCAGCTGTTGCATGGGTCTATCTGCAAGTTTTATTTCCTGTCTTTATACTTGATCATTCAAATAAGTTTACTCTTTACCTTGAAAGTGCAGAGGCCTAAGTATGGATTTCTTGCTTTCAAATCTCAGTGCTCTAAAGATAGGGTGCAAAGGCACTATCCTAAATGTGCATGATTTTATAACAGACTTTTTTTTTAAATTTTGAGACAGAGACTCACTAAGTTGCCCTCAGTAGAGTGCCGTGGTGTCACAGCTCACAGCAACCTCAAACTCTTGGGCTTAATTGATTCTCTTGCCTCAGCCTCCCAAGTAGCTGGGATTATAGGTGCCCACCACAATGCCTGGCTATTTTTTGTTGCAGTTGTCCTTGTTGTTTAGCTGGTCCAGGTCAGGTTCCAACCCACCAGCCTTGGTGTATGTGGCTGGCACCATAACCACTGTACTATGGGTGCCGAGCCTATAACAGACATTTTTTTTTTTTTTTTTTGCGATTTCCCATGTTTCATCTTCTTTCATACGGTTTCACATGGCATCAAAGTCCTCCTGGTGGTAGTCTGGTGATAGAGCTTTGACAACACTCTTAATTGACAAATAGAGAGGTCACATCTATGATTTCTGCTGCTGACTGATACATTTATTAACAAGGTATCAAGTGGTTTGCTCTACTTGTGAAGCATTGATCCTAAATTTCAATGTGTCCACTGTATAAAGTTTTCCACATATTAATTTTGTTCCTAAATGATCTTATCTGGTTCAATATTTCTTAGGTTTGGACGGAAGATCATTTGCAGATGGTGTATCCTCCAGCTGGCCATCTCTGACACCTGTGCAGCCTTTGCCCCTAACTTTCTCATTTACTGCTCACTACGCTTCTTGGCAGGGTTCTGTATAATGTCTTCTTTAACAAACCTCTATGCTTTGGGTGAGTCAATAATTTTTTTATTGTCTCAATTGACCTTGGAATTCCCCTTTGTCTGAAATTACTATTACCATATATGTTTTCTTCCAGCTTTAGAGTGGACAAATCCCCAGTCACAATCTATGGCTCTAACACTGCTATCAACTGCCTATAGTATTGGGCAGATGCTCCTGGGAGGAATGGCCTTTGCCATTCGAGACTGGCGTACACTGCAACTGACATTGTCTATACCCTTGTTTGTCTTCTTCTTGTCTTCCAGGTATGGATAATCTCCATTTTCTTTGCACGTAAATAAAGCTATGATGGGAACTGAGAGAAGAAACCTGACACTTGGGATTTATTCTCCCCGTGGGCTGGTCCTGAAAAGGGTCCCTATTAGCTCCCAGTATGGCATGTGAAAAGCAAGAAACAGAGTAGAGCAGTACACTACCTGGGAGGCTGGCATGTTGCATTCACTTTATAGCAAACACAATTTTCCTGAACTAATTTTTCATATTATAAAATGATACCCACTTATTCATAAAGAAAATGTATTATTTATTAGACTTTGGAAATATTATGTGTTGGAGACTATTTGGGGACATTTGTCATTGTAAGTGAGCTTGGGTAAAAGGAAAAGGGAGAATGTGGGCCATGTTGTTAGACTAAAATAGCCTGCATACACTGCTGTCAAGGAGAGGATTAAAGGTTATGGATATAGGCTCACCCAAGGATGGACATTAGAGGAGAAAGCATTATGAATCATCAGAGAAGCAACTGGGGATGCCCAGAGTGGGGGAGAGAGAGGCAGGATTATCAGCTTTGGTATATTGGAAGGCATCTTGGGGAAGCATCTACAAATGGAGAAGGGTTAAGAGAAAGACCTGGGGCTCCATACTCCCCTAGCAGACAGTGCAACCCAAGCTTTGGAGGGGCTTCCCCACCACAGCAGGCCTCAGAACTGATCAGGGAGCTGCTTAGAGACTGTGCAGCAATATTGACCAGAGAGTGAACACAGTGGGTCCTGCCAACTCCTGGTCTTAGGTGTTGCCTCAATAGATGTCACTCTGAACTCTCAGCCCCAGATCATATAACAGTAAGTAGCTGAGTTCATCTCTTGGTTTTCTATTCTGTTCCATACATCTACATCTCTGTTTTTGTGCCAATACCATGCTGTTTTGATCACTATGGATTTATAGTATAGTCTGATGTCTGGTAGCGTGATTCCTCCTGCTTTGTT